TATAAGTTGCCTTGATCAAGGTGTTTCTTCATAGCAATAGAACAGTGACTAAGACATTGCTCTTACAGAAGACCTACGTTTGGAGCTTACAACTGTCTGTAACTCCAGTTCTAGGGGGATCTGATATCTGATGCCCTCTTCTAGCTTCTGCAGGCACCAGGCATGCACTTGGTACACAAACATACATGGAGGCAAAACACACATATACATAAAGTTAAAAAAATATTTAAAAAAGAAAACCATACATATTTGAAGAAAATACAAGTTTGATACAGGAAAAGCAGAATTCCATACCTAAACATAGTTCACTAAAGCTGAGGAATACAAAAGAGAAAGAAAATGATAAAGGTATCTATAGAGAAAATGCATGGTATTTATAATTAAACTCACGAAGAAAATTTAATAGCTATGCAAGAAGGGAGAAGACAATGAAATTTTGTCAAATGACTGGAATAAATTAACTTTCCACTAAATTTTTATGTCTAACCTAACTAGTTCAGGAATAAGAGTAAAAGATAAAAAGAGTGAAAGATATTTTCAGACAAGCTAAGTGAAAAAGACCCCATGAAGCTGGGCGGTGGTGGCACACACCCTTAATCCCAGCATTCAGGAGGCAGAGGTAGGCAGATCTCTGAGTTTGAGGCCAGCTTGGTCTACAGAGCTAGTTCCAGGACAGCCAGGGCTCGAAAAATAAAAAACAAAAACAAAAGTAAAGATGATACCTATTTCTTTCTCTTTTGTATTCCTCAGCTTTAGTGAACTATGTTTAGGTATGGAATTCTGCTTTTCCTGTATCAAACTTGTATTTTCTTCAAATATGTATGTTTTTTAAAATATTTTTTTAACTTTATGTATATGTGTGTTTTGCCTCCATGTATGTTTGTGTACCAAGTGCATGCTTGGTGCCTGCAGAAGCCAGAAGAGGACATCAGATCCCCTTACTGAAAGAATATTTTAGCTTAGCCAGGCTAAGTGTAATCCCAGCACAGGGGAGGCTGAGACAGGAGGATGGCCAAGTTCAAGGGTCATCTGGGCTATAAAGAGAGATTCATTTCAAATCAAAACAAACCACAAAAAGAAAGAGTGGACTTCTGAAAATGTCTATCAGGAGGGATGACTGAAGGAAGGGAATACTGAGCAGAGAAATCAGTATCCATGTGTGTGAGTTTACATACATCACACAAAGCCATAACAGAGAATGAAAGCACATGATAGTCAGGTGTTCTGGTACTCACTAGTAATCCCCAGAACTCAGGAAATGGGTAGGAGGATCAACAATTCACAGTCATACTCAGTTACATACTGAGTTCAAGGTTATGCTGAGCTATAAGAGACCTCTCAAGCCAGGCAGTGGTGGCGCACGCCTTTAATCCCAGCACTTGGGAGGCAGAGGCAGGCGGATCTCTGTGAGTTTGAGACCAGCCTGGTCTACAGAGCTAGTTCCAGGACAGGCTCCAAAGCCACAGAGAAACCCTGTCTTGAAAAACCAAAAAAA